TATGGACATATGAATCACTTGATGGACCCCAGATAGGCTAGGCGGTAAAGCCAACCTATAAGCCACTGGCCCTACATAATCAAGAACCTCAAATGGTCCAACGTATCGAGAATTAAGCTTGCCTTTCTTGCCGAATCTCATCACCCCTTCTTGGGTGACACCTTGAGAAGAACTTGGTCACCATCCAGAAATGTCATGGCTCTTACTTTATGGTTTGCGTACTTTTTTTGTCGATTCTGGGCAGTTAGAAGCTTAGCTTGGATGTTTCTTACCATATCCTAAGCATCTTTCACCAAATAAACCCCCAATGTTTTCACATCTCTAGCCTCAAACCACCCTATGGATGATCTACATCCCCTCCCATAAAGTACGTCGAATGGTGCCATGTCTATGCTGGAGTAGTAACTGTTATTAAAGGAGAACTCACACAAAGGTAGGAACTTATCTCAATTCCCTCCAAAGTCAATCATGCATGCCCTCAACATTTCCTCTAACACTTGGATAGTCCTCTCTGACTGCTTGTTCGTCTGTGGATGGAAAATTGTGCTAAAAGTGAGTTGAGTGCCCAACTCCTCATGCAATTTTCCCCAAAACATGGATGTGAACTACATACCATGGTCCGAGATGATAGAAAGGGGCAACCTATGCAGTCTCACTATAACCTTCACATACACTTTAGCCAACTGTTGCACATCATAGTCTACTCTGACCGAAATGAAGTAGGCTGACTTAGTCAATCTATCAACCACCACCCAAATGGAATCAAACTTCCCTTAATTCAGAGAATACATGAATAGACTTAATAGAGGGAGACTCGGCATCAACATCCTGAATATGAGCCAAATATCCCAAAACATCCCAACCCCACCAGTTTCCTAGCCCGAAGGAAGGATAGGACCTTTAGCTGGCTTAGGCTTGTACACCCCTTCCCACTCTAAGTTTTCCCTACATGGGATCTCTAGAGTCGCATACTTAGTATTACAATTAAGCACAACATAATAGGGGGAAAACCAAGTCATGCCTAAGATTACATCAAAGTCAATCATATCCAGAATAACCAAATCAGCTCAAGTTTGATAACCCATAAACATAATAGGACAAGCACGATATACATGGGTTACTACGACAGACTCTCCAACTGGGGTAGAAATATGGATGGGGGTATCAAGCACATAAAAAACCGCATCAAATCCCAAGGCAAACTGAACTGACACATATGAATAAGTAGAACACGGATCAAACAAAACAGTAGCCATCCTATCACAGATAAGATTAGTACCTATGATACTGCATCAGATGTGTCCGCCTCGGTCTTTCCCGAAAAGGCATAACACTAAGCCCTGTCATCTTGACGGACAACCTCGTTGCCTGGATGCACTCCTCCTGTACTTGCATTACCAATTCCCCAACCTTCACGACCTCGCTGGTTCCCTCCTCGCCCATCTTATGTACGTCCTTTTCCATTATTACCATTACCCGCGGGTACCATTGCTCTAGTCTGCTGCTGAGCGGGGTCAAAGATGCGTGATAGGGGACAATCTCTTCTAATATGCCTAGGTTCTCCACAATTGTAACAATTGCGGTCAAAAGACGGCTTGCTGCCCACCAAAGGTGCGGCTCCCTAGCTATCCTGAATAAAATTCTTCTGTGGAGTTCCCGCGTAACCACCTGTAGAAGTGGTAAAGGCTGACTGAATTGGCTGGGTTGTAAGTGTCGGCCTACCTGAACCCCTGGGGTGGGAACCATGAAAGTTACCTGTGCGCTTGGGCTTTTAGCCAAAGCCTTGACCTGCTCATCACGTCGAACTCCTTCAACTTTCTTCACAAAGTATGTCACCTCATTAAAACTTTTTCCTGCAGAGGTCATGTGCACAGACAATACCTTTAATTCGGGGTTCAATCATCTATTCCTCAGTAGTTACCTACTGTGTAGCATATTTGGACAAGGCATGAAACTTAGCCTCATAAGATGCTACAATCATACCACCCTTTTCCAAAGCCATGAACTCATCCTTCTTGCGATCCCTCAAAGTCTGGGGCACATACTCTTCCAGAAATAAAGCATGGAACTGCGTCCAAGTGAGTGGAGGTAAGACCGGCGATGTGCATTCCACATAGGCTCTCCACCAGTGCTTAGCTTCATCTTGAAGCTCGAAGGTCACAAACTCTACTCCATGCTGATGTACAATACCTAACTTCTGAAGCTTCTAACATCAATCCAAAATGAACTCATAGGCGTCCTCACTCTCAAAACCATGGAACACAGGTGACTTCAGCTTTAGAAACTTATTCAACATTTCGTGCTCAGTACCAGTCATCATAGGCTCCAATAGCGGACGGAAAAAGGCATCAGTGTCTAATGCTCCACCCACATTGGGAACAATAACATCATGGAGGGATTGACTGGGGTTGAACCGTTTGCACCGTGGGAATAAGGACTCTAGGGCAGACCAATGCCTTCATAAAACTCATGATCTGCTGAGCTAACACTGGGTCTAAGGGAGGAATACATGTAGTCTTAGTATGTACCTCCTCCTCTGGTCGAAAATCCTCCTCGTTTTCGATTTCCACATTCTCTTGTACCTCTTCTTGGGGTGCAGGAGGGGCCTCTTCCTTAGGAGCATTTTCAACTGGGGCTCCACTCATGGCGAGTGCTACCCTTCATCGACCTCTACCCCTTCCTCTTCCTCTACAGCTGCCTCGACGGCGGCCACTTACTGCGGGATGGAGGAGTTGGCTCATTGATAGGGGCTACGGGCTTGACGCCATTATATCGTGTGTTAACCATCTGCGGACAGAAGAGTGAAAGGAGTTAGATACCAATTTGGATCACCTGATACCAATTGGAATCAAATCATAGCACGAAAGAAGAAGAAAATAGAGAGACTTCCTAAAGTCATGTAGCCTCTCGAACAAAAGTACAGATGTCTCCGTACCGTACCACAAGACTCACAATGAGATCATCGAACCTAGGTCTCTAATACTAACTTTGTCACGACCTAGTCTGTCGTGATTAGCACCCATACTAACCCTCCGGTGGGAGAACCATTACTACAACCCAACTAATAAACTTAATGAAAAACTAAGCATTTAAAGATACGGAAGTAGGTTTAAACGATAGATAAAATCAGAGTTCCCATAAACTCCAAAGGTCTTAAATAAATAATTAAACAAACTATTGCGGAAGTCAAACCCTAGAACCTGAAAGTCATTGCACCAAAACTTTACTAATCAACAAGTCTAAAGAAGAGGGGTACAACCCCGAAACTAAACATAAGAATAAATCTAACTATAGAGTCTGAGTCCAAACAAAATGGACTAAACAATAGAGGACCCATAACTGGCTCGCCCTTGAATCTGGTCTCGATCAGTGATCTCCTAACTGAGGTCAGTCAATAGCTTTCTGAAGATGCCATATACTCAACAATGAACGAGAAAGTGGAGTATTAGTACACAACCACAGTATACTAGTAGGATCACGCAACTACTCCAGTAAGCAAAATACAAGCAGGCAATTACAACACAATAAACACACATACAAAATACATAGTTCAGTTATCATTTCAGGGGAAACATACAAATTCCCAATATCAATAACATGTAGACATGAATGTAATATTCACAAGTGGTCCTCTCATGGAACCACACCCAAACTATTACTGTGTCAGAGTGGTTCTCCATTGGCTTTTCCATGACAAAAAAAACAGGTCGTTATAGATATTACCAGGTTGTTTTCGTATTCAACTTTGTCTAGTAGTGCTTCGTCATAAATTATCAATTCTGTATTAGATATTCAAAGGCCCTATCATAAAACATTCAAAAGTTTACTTGTTTTTGGTAGTTCTATCATGAAATTCCTCTTAAATATACAAAACCAATCAATTTTTATTATGATTCTCCCACTACGACTAAGTACTACTACAATAATCACACTTTCATGTTCTTGAGTCTTCTTATTTTCTTCAAAACCTTTCGGTATTGAAATATTAACAACTTTTTCATGTAGTGCTCTTTAATTTACCTAACATCACTCTCACTACTTGAGGTTGTAGTTTTCTTATGTCTTATAATGTTTTTCCTACTACTTAAATGCAATGGAACGTCAATTCTGACATACAGATAAAATGTTCTTGAGCATCTGAATTTACAACTGTCTCATTTGTTATTTCTTTGTTCAATTCCTGTAAAACTAGTTTACTTCTAGGAACATAGATTACTAAATAGTCCTTTTCTAGAAATCTGTCAGTTGTCTTAACAATTACCTTATTTTCGTTAGGACAATAAAATAAATCTTCTTTCATTCTTTTTGGATATCCAATCAACACACACATTTCAATCCTGATTTGAAAGGAATTGAATTCAAATGTGATATGTAGTTCTTAGAACATATCCCAAAAGAAACAAAACAACAATGAATAAGCCAATCATTAATATTATCTTCTTGATAAACGTCTTTTTCTTTTCTCTTTTACGCCATTCTATTATAGTGTCTGGTGTAGACAATTGAAATGCAATTATTATATCAGATAAGTGACTCATCAGCGATGCAAATAGGTATACATCACTACAATCAGATTGCATGGACTTTATATAATTTACATGAGGCTATTTTCATTTATCTTAAATCTTTTGAGTTTATCAAGACATTCTGACTTACAAAATATCAAATATATATATATATATATTCATATCATGAGTAAATTTCTGAAAGTCTCATAAAACTCAAATTCACCTCTTGTCTGCATGATCATTTACCGCATAAATCAGAATATATTACTTCTAACTTATCATCTATCTATCTATCTATCTATCTATCTATCTATCTATCTATGTATGTATGTATGTATGTATCTATCTATCTATCTATCTATCCATCCATCTATCTATCTATCAAAGCTATCATTCCTCGGCATGGCTTTGACTCGCAATAAGAACCCAGAAGGATCGACAGAGGACACGGATAACAAAATTTTGTAGAGTCAAGAGCAATTGCAGAAATTG